TATATATATATATATATGTATATACATATATATATATATTTATACATATATATATATATATACACATATATATCGCTGTATTCAGTGCTTTCTTTACCTTCTGGGACAGATTCTTCCTTTCCTCGTCTCTCGTCTCTTTGTCATAAAATCAACTCTTTTGTGTTGACGCTCCTGTTATCTGTAACAAATGACACATGGAGGCTTCTGTTTGCGCTGAGGTGCCATCTAGTGCACAGCTGACTACAGCACTTTAAGAGAAGACAATCTCCTCTGGGAGCTTCTGTAATGAAAAACGATAAGAAACAAACAAACAAAAAAGACTGAACTATTAACAAATAACTTTCTCTAACGTTAGAAAATCTAAAGGTGTCCATGTATTGTTTTTGTGGATCCTTGCAAGATAAGATTATTTGATAAGATTCTTTGAATCTTATCAAAGAATATTATCTTGCTGATCTGATTCATTCAAAGAATTAATCAGATCAGCAAGATAATATTCTTTGAATCTTATCTGATTCGAATCAGATAAGACTGTAATGTGTGTTTGACAGTGAACATCTGTGAAGAGTCCCCAAAGATGTTTTCTGTGTATCCTGTTGATTAGCTGTAATTGAAGAAACAAGGGGACTGCATTGTGAACAAATATCCAGAAAAAGACATGCCTGTGTGAGGCTTTGCATGTAGATGAAAAATAATGCACCAAAAATGGTCATTTACTGCTTAAAATATCAGAATTACTGACAAATATTTGAGGCATAAAGGGATGGGGCAGTGGTTTGTAGGGTTTGGCCTGTTGATCTGTTGTAGTTGTTGTAGTTGAAGGAAAGCCCAACACCAAGATATTCAGAGATGAGAGCCGAGACATATAATCTCTCTGTTTTGGGCCTGCTCCGGGACCTCCACCTGGGGGGACATGCCCGGAACGCCTCACCCAGTAGGCATCCCTGTCAGCTACCAGCTACTTTTAAGCTCTCTCATCACCAGGACAGACTAGTCCAGGTCGTGTCCAAATTCATGGGCTGCATCCTCCTGAGGCCGCATTTGTAGGCCGATTACGTCACAGCGACGCGACGAAGGCTGTCCAAATTAGTATGCAAATGCATCCTCCTTTTCCCCAAATTTGAAGGATGGGTCGGGTGTATCCTTCGTGGCACAGCATATCCCAGAATTCATAGCGCGGCCCAGCCAATTCCAGTTTTCAACAATGGCTGTAGCTACTAAGTTTTTAATATTACTCTTATTACTCTTTCTGGGTCACAAAATAAACTTTTAACATATTTTCAGGCGAGAATGTAGCTGTGTAAACTTCAAATATCTGCTCGGTTTATCAAGATATCGCATATTTGCAAAAGTGCTCTGATGATTTCGGAAACGTCTGTTATCCGCCAGCTCGATAGCTAGTCGGGAGCTCGAGGGTCACTAGAGCCGCCGAGAACGGCAAACTCCCGGCACATCATTTTCAGATCACCGAGGACTTTCCCTACTCAGGTTAAACGTAATATATAAGTCACTTAGACCTAAAAATGTTATTGTTTTTTCAGTGTTTTATTTGTTCGTGAGTGAATCAGTTTGGCTGAGATTAAAGTTGTTAGATTAGATTAGATAAAATAAAACTTAATTACCTCGGGTGGTTTTCACACAGCTGAATAAACATCAAACAGAAAACTGATTAAACAGAAGTGTGAGACGGTCGAGAATTTACACCAGTGTCCTGTTTTAATTTAGATAGCAAGGAGCAGACGGCCGAGTTTATTAAACTCCACCGAGACAGCGGTGACACAAATCTGAAGGTTAGACTGTCCAATTTCACAGCCGTTTACTTCCAGCCTACCCGACCTTCTGAGGACCCGGCCCACGTAGACTGCGAAGGCCGGGTCCTCAGGAGGATGCAGCCCATGAATTTGGACACAACTATAGTGTCCACATCACTGCAGTCACAGCACCAATCTGTCTGTTGATCTCCCGCTCCCCTCTCACCTCACTCGTGAGCAAGACCCCGAGATACTTAAACTCCTCCACTTGGAGCAGTAACTCATCCCTGACCTGAAGTGGGCACTCCACCCTTTTCCAGATGAGGACCATGGCTTCAGACTTGGAGGTGCTGATTCTCATTCCCAGCGCTTTGAACCTCTCAAGTGCGAGCTGGAAGCCACCACCTGATGAAGCCAACAGAACCACATCATCTGTGAAAAGCAGAGATGAGATTCTGAGACCACCCAGGTGGAGGCCACTTGACTAGCCCTGGTGGAGTCCAACACCCACCGGGAACAAGTCAGACTTATTGCTGGCTATGCAGACTGAGCTTTGGAGGCGTCTGGTTGTCCAGAGGTGCCATCTAGTGCACAACTGACTTCAGCACCTCAAGAGGTGAAGCTCATCCAGGAGCTTCTGCAATGAAAATGTAAAAAATAAAAAATAAATCTGAATGAACTGGTAACTAATAACTTCCTCTAACTTCATGAAGTCAAAAAGTGTCTTTGTTTTCTTTTTGCGTGTCCTTGCTGGCTTAGCCCTTTAAAGCAAGAGGCATTGTGTCTTTGAAGATGAACATCTGTGAAAGAGTTGACATTGTGGAAATCCCTGAGGAAGATTCCCAAAGATGTTTTGTGTTTGCCCCGTTGGTTATGGACCACAATGAGTCATTTGCAGCCCTTTGTCTGAACACAATGCTGTAATCAGAGAAACGACATCTTAACATATCCAGGGGGTTGCATATTTAAAAACAAATCTCCTCAACAGATGACGAGTGGCTGAACAAACATACAGAAAGAAGAGGTCTCCGTGAGGCTCTGCTTTTAGATGAGGAACGATGCACCCGAAATGGGATTTTAATGCTTAAAATGTCAGAATTTATCAGAAGTAGAACATTAAAAATGCAAACAGATGATTCAGTCATTAGGAGTCTGCAGGCTTGCTTTATTGCTAAAAATACTTGCAATGATATCTTTGTGCTTGCTGGCTTGCCAGCAGATTAGCATCTGCCAGGTACAAACTCCACACATGATCACAAGCTATGTACAGCTGACAGATTGTTACCTGAATACTGATGCCAGGTTCCTCTCTGGCTTTCAAGAGCTCATAATTCCATGCCAAAAATGATGGAAGTAGCTCTGAAATGACAACAGCACGTCCTGCTTTATGCTTTAAGGTGTTTTTCGGTTATAGTCGTGATAAAGATGAGTTTCCACTGTTGCCGATGGACTTGTGGGAAGCATGTGGAGTAGCTCTATTTATTTGAATAGAAGAAGATACACACATAAACACAAAGGTAGCTTATAAAGTGGTGTGGGCTGAGATTTTGGTATAATACATTAACATTTAGCTTATTTAGTTCATTTAGTGTATTTTTATATAGCATTAGCCCTGTGTCTGGCGGGTTACATTCGGGTGTATCCGGCCTCCTGCTTTATGGAAGCTAGAATAGACTCCAACTCCCCATGACCTTGAACCGGATAAGCGGAAGAGAATGGGTGGATGGCATTTGCATTTATTATCAAAATAACTGCTAAACAGCAACAACTACAACAGATCAACAGGCCAAACGCTACAGGCCTATTGTGTCAATTGTGTCAGGTTTTACGCTGTGAGAATCACGTCCTTCCCTTAACCCTGCAGGACCAGTTGCTTGTGAAGAAAACAGAAAAATCATAACAAAAGCATTTTAAAATGTAGATAGAAGAGAGATACATTCAATCTGAGTCAAGACACTAATTAAATTTTTCAAATATGTATATAGAACAAATTTCATATATATAACGATGTTTAAGTAAAACACGTGGACCCTGTGAGATACTGTAGATAAAGGTGCTTCTTTAGCCACAGTAATCCAAGGTACTGGAGAAGGAATAAAAAAGAAAGTCTGGAAAACAGTAATACTCCATTGAAGCAAACTGGCAAGATGTCCCAGTATGACGCAGAAAGAGCAGTGATTGGCATTTCCAAAAAAGTCAACACCATTTACTGTAAATCACTTGAAGGGATGTACAGCTGACATACAGCACAGACTGCATTCTGTTGTGAGATGGGCACAGTGAGTCATAACGCACCTGCTTGAAAGATAAAAATGCTAATTAGTATCACTGAAGAAACGGCCTCTGTTTTGGTTACTGCTGCAAAAAACAGAATAATCATCTTTATTCTGTTTTTTGCAGCACACAAGTCCTATCTCGCTACTATAACATGATGCACAGCATTAAATTTAATTGTAATTAGAATATTTGAAAAGTATGTCGACATCCAGCCAAATAAAAATATATAATAACTCGTGGCACTAGAGCCTAACATGGTACAAACTTTTTTTAATATCATGTAATTTTAATAATTTGCCACATTTCCAAAGAATCTTGTTATCCAATAATGAGGACTGCAAAAACAGCTAATTCTTATAAATAATTGCAGGGCTAATTATTGATCAAAGGCTTTCTACATAATGAGGGAAACTGTGATAATGTGAAATAACTGTCCTTTTTCGAAATGGCAAACACAATGTTCCTATTAAATTTACACTTGTGATACTACAGCCTGAATTCCAAAAATAGTTGGGATGCTGTATAAAATGCAAAGAAACCCAGAATGCAATAATCTGCATAAACCCATAAACCCATATTTTATTCATAACACAACATGGAAAATATATCACATTTAAACTGAGACATTTTATTATTTCATGAAAAATACTACCACATTTTAAATTTGATGGCAGCAAAGCATCTCAAAAACGTTTGGATGTGACTAAAAAGAAAAAGCTGGAAAACAAGTCAATAAGACAACTGAGTATAAAAAGGACATCTTAGAGAGATGGAGAGAGAAATAAAACTGTGTCATAATAACGTTCTTCCACATAAAACTGTAAAGAATCAAAAGTTTCAGAGACTCCAGAGGAATCTCTGTGTGTATTAAGTACAAAACCCAATGTCACGAGGTTATGAGTGAGGACTCAAATACAGACTGAAAACAATGTGCAAAGCCCAGAGGTAAAGAAAACAGCAGAGTGTTAGCATACAATAGGTCCAACCAGCAAGGCAAACAGAATCTAGCAAAGGACTGAACATTATGATGGACTGTTGACGAGATGACATGAGGGAGACAGGACTACAAGAATCCAAAAACAACGTTGCCAATGTTTACCCAAAAAAGAACAAG